CGAGTGATGTGGTTTTACACCACTTTTAGCAATATTTCAGCAATATCATGGCAGGGTACACCAGAAATGGGCTTCACACATTGTACTCATGTGGGAAAGAGAACCTGGGTCTTTGGTGTGACAAGCGAACACTTTAACCACTAGGCTACCCCACCACCCTACATTCAATGGGAAAAGATGAGAAGTCACCAGCTTCATAACACTCCTTTTCACCATGAGACCGCCCCTCCGTGGTGTAGTGGTTAGAGCGTCCGCCCAGAGAGCGGAAGGTCGCGGGTTCGATCCCCGACGAGTCATACCAAAAGACGTTAAAATATGGTACTTGTTGGTCTCTGTCTGGCGCTCGACATTAATGGGTACAACAAGGACTGGTCAGCTCGGAGTCAGTATAATGTGTCTGAGTGGGGTATTCATGCTTCACTGCGGCATGGTATCTCAGTGAGCTAGCACTATAAAACCAGCTTAAGTCTGGGCTAGTACAAGCAGCCGCACATACACATACACACGCATGCACGTTGTCAAATGAGCGAAATATTCTCAAGTATGACGTTAAACCCAATTTCACCTCACCTCACCCTTTTCACCAACACTGAATAACATGCCTGATGCAGAAGTGTACATCCTAAGATTTTATAATAAGACCTTGTTTTCATTCAACAATTAAAGTCATATTCTACAGCAGAACTGAGGGAAAAGTGGAGTTTGACTGCTGTTCCCAAGTCCATTTATAGCAATCACATTGTACTATTAAGTAGGGCATATTGTCTGCTCATGCATTGCTACATACATTGCTATCGGTCATAGTACACTATCATACTTTCCGATACTTTGCAACTCCATTGTGAGGGGATCATATGCTAAGCCATGCTGCCAGAGGGAATAAACACTCACATTACGCCAGCACATCCTCAGCGGGTACCCATCTTACAGCAGGGTGAACGCTAGACAATGTGGATCTATGTATCTTGTCCAAGGATATAAATGTGCCCACCTACCTAGGTAATACCAACAAAAGTATCTAAGGATATCTACTTTAGAGGGATATTTATATTCTTTAGTGCAAATCTGTTAGAGGATATTTATATTCGAAATCATCATTTAAACTATTAATTATTACTCGTCACGATATGGCTGAGATATTGCCGATGTGACGTTGTATATTAACTCACTCAGTTAATTATTACCTTAGAGACTTGTACAAGTCTAACCACTGGGCCACCATACCAGAACAAGAAAATTTTTCTATCAGTATGGGAGAAGTGTGATAGCCTAGTGGTTAAAGCATCTCATCATGACCAAGATCCGGGTTCAGAGCCCCACAAACTTTGAATCCTATTTTAGTGTTTGTCACCATGATATTACAGGAATATTGCTAAAAGATGCATGAAGTCAGCCACACACTCCTATCAGCATGGAATCTAGAAGGATCTTGTTTTTTAATAAAAGTGTCAGCAGGTAAGTAACCCCAGGTGAACCGACATTCCAGAGTTCCTCATCCATGGCTGATCGTGACACATGACCCTATCATGTATCTGTAAACAAACATATCTGGTCTCTAGCTGCATGCAACAGCACTAAACATATCATACATAGACTCACGCTTAGTCTCAGAATAGATATAATTTTGATAGTAACAAATAAACCCATTTAAATTGAAAAGGACCCCAGTGAGTTGAGAGATTAAGAACCTGAGGAAATCTAGAGTTGCTTCATTTAGGTGAGGTGAGGTGAGGTGAGGTGAAATTGAGTTTAACGTCGTGCTTGAGAATATTTCGCTCATATGACGACGTGCATGCGTGTGTATGTGTATGTGCGACTGCTTGTACTAGCCCAGACTGAAGCTGGTTTTATAGTGCTAGCCCACTGAGATACCATGCCGCAGTGAAGCATGAATACCCCACTCAGACACAGTATACTGACTCCGAGCCGACCAGTCCTTGTTGTACCCATTATTGCCGAGCGCCAGGCAGGGACCAACAAGTACCATATTTTAACGTCTTTTGGTATGACGCGGTCGGGGATCAAACCCGCGACCTTCCGCTCTCCGGGCGGACGCTCTAACCACTACACCACGGAGGCGGTCGCTTCATTTAGGGCTTTAGCATTGCAGTAGGGGAAATAATGTGGTTCACGGACTGTGAGACTGACTAATATCATACCTTGTATTCCCTTGAAAAATCTACAGACTGGCATTAGATTACTAATTTTTGCATGGACCCATTTCTGTGATTTTCACAGGAGTAATTAGGAATAAATCAACATTACCAAAACTAGAACAATAATTTATACACCATACTTTAGTCTACCATACCATTTAACATCAACAGTAAATTATCATCGCATCCCAATTGCATGGATCGATCACTGGATTGTATAGTCCAGACTTATTTATTTACAGACTGATGCCCTACAGGTGGAATATTGCTGAGTGCAGCGATAAACAAGAAACAAGCAAGCAAAACAAGATTGATATTGAATGATTTTTCTTATCACATCTATCGCTGGACGTACTTGCTGGCCCAAGGCCACACTCATTTTTAGTTTTGACCTGCTTTTACAGTTATGCTGACTGTAAATATTTTTAAATGAAAAAAGATCTACCAACATTATATTATTTTGTCTCACACAAAAGCTTATTGCATAATGCACAAAAAAAACACATTAAGCATGGACCTAATATTATCTCTTTTTTTTATACCAACCTATTTGTAGTTAATGAGAAAATTATTTAAAAATGCATTTTTTAAATTTACCTACTAATGTTAAGGGCAATTCATTCCACATGGACATATTTTTGGATTGGAAAACTACACACCAGGTGTACGATTCCTCTGCAAATAGAAAAACTCCAGTTAGGAATCAATCTTATGTCAAACTGGTTCAGGTGAATATTTCCACCTAAGTGAATGGCTGACTTGGGATTGTTTCCAGCTGCTTTTATCTTGCAACTGTGTAGCACTAACTGGTATTTTCTTGTAAAAATAGTCAGTAAAACAAGTAAAAAAGCTTGAGGAGCAATGTATTCAAACAGAAAATATATCTTTGTTTAAACACAGTTTTACACAAATATGTACCAGGGTGCCATTGTACAAAGCAAACTTAGCGCTAAGGAGACCGTAACTCACATACCATAACATAGACTTAAGGTAGTCTTAGCGCTAAGGTGACCGTAACTCACATACCTTAACATAGACTTAAGGTAGTCTTAGCGCTAAGGTGACCGTAACTCACATACCTTAACATAGACTTAAGGTAGTCTTAGCGCTAAGGTGACCGTAACTCACATACCTTAACATAGACTTAAGACAGTCGTAGCTAAGGTGGTCGTAACTCACATACCTTAACATAGACTTACACAGTCGTAGCTAAGGTGACCGTAACTCACATACCTTAACATAGACTTAAGGTAGTCTTAGCTAAGGTGATCGTAACTCACATACCTTAACATAGACTTAAGACAGTCGTAGCTTAAGGTGATCGTAACTCACATACCTTAACATAGACTTTACACAGTCGTAGCTTAAGGTGATCGTAACTCACATACCTTAACATAGACTTTACACAGTCGTAGCTAAGGTGATCGTAACTCACATACCTTAACATAGACTTACACAGTCTTAGCGCTAAGGTGACCGTAACTCACATACCATAACATAGACTTAAGGTAGTCTTAGCGCTAAGGTGGTTTTGTACAACAGCACTCTGTCCAGTAAACGACAAACGCATTACAAATTATTACCAGTAACTTCAAATCACCAGGTGTAAGATAACTTTGGGTGGACAATGATTCTTGTTATGTACCTTTAGAACATTTGATGAAACAAAAGAGAAGGTGCTGCAAGGTGCTGACAAAACTCTGGAATGTTGTATTCAGTGGAAATCTAGACTTCGAACACATGGTCAATGCAGATTCCTGTGTGGAACTGGCTCCAAGAAAGAAATGCCAAAATGGGGCAGCAGTTACCCAAACACCCGATTCAAACTGAGTGAGGATACGTGGAACCTTCCTGTGACTTAAAACCAGGTTTCCAGCCACTGGCTTTGCTGGTTCAAAATTCAAAGGTTTGAACAAGAAGTGAGATTCGATATCAGGTACAAACCTTCCTGTGACTTAAAACAACATACTGTTTTAAACTCCATGTACATCAGCTGTGATATTGTTTGGATTCCTGCACATGTTGGTGTAGCTGGAAACGAAGTAGTTGACACACTTGCTAAGATGGCTTGCAACAAACCACAGCCAGATATTCAATCAGTTAAGCTCATTCCAAGAGATTACTGGTTTGTCATTTCATCTTCAATAACTGCATCTTAGCAAAATAAATGGGACAATGAAACTACAGGTAGACATATGTACTCTACTTGTCCTGTAGTAAATAAACATTTTAAAATTCGTCGGCGTTGTCGCAGAGATGAAGTTGTTTTAACTTGCCTCAGGCTAGGACATTGTGGATTAAAGGTATATAGAAGTATTTTAGATAAAGACCTATCTCCTCTGTGTGAATGCTGTAACTTACACTGCCCAGAAACAGTTCAGCACTACCTCATTGAATGTCCAGCTCATGAAAACCCACGTAAGGCTCTTCAAGAAACTGTGCTTAATAATAACAAAGAATACTTTTACAATGACCGCAATACTTGGCGATAATTTAATGTATGGTTGCATACAAAGAGCTGCTTTAGACTTCCTCGTTAAAATGGGTAAGTACGACGTAATTTAACTGAACAAAAATATAACAGTTTGTTAAGTGTTCGGATATAGGCCTTTTAAGGCCCAAGGTTGCCCTAAAACCGTATCTACCTACCTACCTTATGACCAACTGGACAGACCTCATCAGAATCTGAACTGATGCTAATTACCATCACACAGAACATTTATAACCAATGCTGTCCATTATCAACATTGATTCTACACTGCAGCTCACCCAATAAATATTACTGTCAAATCAAACACTGTTAATCTGAATTACTAAACCACATCATAAGCCAAACCAGCCTACCTCACAATGATGAGGAACTCCTGTCGATGAGGTAAATCCAATTATTCTGTCGTTATGTTGCTGCTTCAGCCGAACAAATTCTATCTGAAATACACAAATATCCGGTAATTAGAAACAGAATGACCCCACTGTCATGAGCAGTTGTGTCTTTATATTTCAGCATAATGGCCAACAAAGCCTCTGTCGGAACAAGCCTCCCAGCATGGTCCATCTCCAGGTGGCTCACTGCAGCAGGAGGCTTGTACACTAGGAAAACAATAAACCAGCATATTTCCTGCTAATAGCCTTCGTCTGTTTTCTACAAATCACTCATATTAGACCTGTAGTGTGTGCATGTGACAGTTTCATTCAGGGTCAATGCAGAGTAAACAGCGAGTCGTCTCCTAGACCCTTGAGGATATATCAAAAAGGAGTCTAACTCAAGTCTATATGATTTGGCAAGTCTAATCTATGCCACGGCTCTGAATTAAGAATTGTTCTAATCTCCTTTTGGACTTTATTTTTTTAGGTTAATTTTTGAAAGAGAGAACTTTATTTCTGTGACAAAATGTCTATCTCAGAATAGAGACTTAATCTGTCGAGTTTTAGGAGAAGGTTTTTGTGCATTGTGTAGTGACTTTTACTGTTAAGCACATGTCTTGCACTATCTGCCAGTAGACTGGCACGGTTAACCTCGGTAGACAATATCAATAGTTTCCTTCCTGGGTTTCATAAAATCAATTTACATTTCTCTTTTAAACTAGTCTGTCTCAAAGACCCTAGAGAATAAAATAAAAAGATAATCCAGCTGAAGTCTAGGATGATTTGCAAGTCTAGCTTCCCTAAGCTCTGGCCTGAAATCATGCATTGTTCAATCATATAAGTCCGTTTGGATTTTATTATTCATTTTGTAGACATATAGTTTCATGCAATGGGACCAATTTTATCAATTGAAATAACTGCTTCAGTTCTTCCCCAGAATATAGGTTCTACATCCACCCAATCTGAAGACACGAAACATCAGATATTCAGAAATCTGCAGTAGCATATGATTTCATCCTTTTGGAAATGACAATAAATCATAAGGTTCCTTGTACAAAAAGGTATTAAATGACAATTTCAACAAACCTACTGATAACCAGGAAGCTGAAATATGCACACATTCAATGAACAACATTTTTTTTTTTTTTTTTTTTTTAAAAAAATTCTTATTTATTTGAAAAATATTAGTGGCACCAGCTGTTTCTGGGTAAATGGTAAATGGTAAATGGTATAAAAGTGCTTGCAATATTCATGACTGCTGCTGGTAATATGCCCCATACAGTGGCTCTAGATGGCAATCACTCCAAGAAACAGTTAACTTACATCAGAAACATATATCTAACTGAGTGAGTGAGTTGGGTTTTACTCCGCTTTTAGCAATATTCCTGCAAAATCACGTTGGGGGGACACCAGAAATTGGCTTCACGCATTGTGCCCATGTGAGGAATCAAACCCAGGTCTTCGGAGTGACAGGCAAACACTTTAACCACTAGGCTACCCCACGCCCCTGAAAACACATGATGTTTATGTCTCAAATATATTGCGTTGAGTAACACCTATATCTGAAAAAGTTATATCTAAACGATATAAAAATATAATGTAAAAGGAACCTAGAGCAATATGTAATTTCTAAGTCAGTCTAGACTTGCCAGTCACACTAGACTTGTGCTGCACTCTGTGTATCGCTTGATGTCTTCAAGACAGACTACAATGGCAAGCCAGGTTCTGGTTGGGAGTGTTTTGCATTTCCAACAGGGTCAGGTACACTTCTATTGCAGCATATGGTCGGTGTTTCCGGGGAAACTTTGGGTGTTGGTAAACCATGACTTGACTTGCTCCATACGATGTTTGACTTTACTCAACATGTTGAGTCTGTTGCTTGTCAGTGATTGGTAGCTGTTTTAAAACATTGATTAAGTTTCTAATCTTTTTGTTTTGAAGATGGTGTATTTAGAAATATATATACCATATTATCATTATCATTTGTGAAATTCTTTTCTCCGAGTTATAAATCTTTATATTCACTATTACATCATCATCATGACCATCTTCACCTTACCATTCTCACCATCAGCATCATCATCATCATCGAATGAAATTTTTAAATCTCTGCTAAAGACCCATCTGTTTAACTGATGCATTTCTGTAAAACTTACATGAACTATTTCCTTCCCCAATATTGCCACAGCACCACTGAGCATCTCTAAGGTGGATATTAGGCGCTTTATAATTAATTATGATTACTATTATTATTTTCATTATCATTGTCATTCTTGCATCATAATCATCATCATTGTCATTGTTGCATCATCATCATCATCATCATCATCATCATAATCATCATCATCATGCCATATTAATCGTGTTAGACATCTAATTCAAGTTTTAGATTTTCATGTTTGTTTTGTGAACAGATAGCACCATGATATAAGAATGGAATAACTACATACTCCTCAATATCAGAAATCTACCAATAGCACATAAAATTACTCTAGATATTAGCTATGTTGAAATCAACACTGAAAAGTACCTGCCACCAGAACAAATACTGCTTATGCTAAATACTGACCTTTACTGGAGAAGAAAAGCACTAGATATAGATCAAACCTATTTGTGTACACAATACCCAGTTTAATGAGCTCATTATGTCAACTGCTCTCTGTAATTTGAGCTGGTTGATAGCTGGAGGCTTGTCTTCAGTTATTAAGGTCAATGGCCTGGAATTTGAGACTTACAGATTCAGTGGCATTTAGGAACCTTTATCTTATTAAATACACATATGTGGGCTGAATAAAACAGTCATCAGTGAAGGAAATGGTTAATGATAGTGTGAATTATAACCTGTGATTGAGTACGGGAGATGTCATAAAAGTCATTCAGTGATCAAATCTCTGGCTCCTTCATGATCAAACCTCTCACTCCTTTACTGATCATATCACTCAGTGATCAAATCATTCAGTCAGTGATGTAATCACTTTCACTCACTCACTGATCAAATCACTCACTCTCTCACGGACTCAATCACTCACACAACGATGAAGTCACTGTCACTCACTCAACTGAATCAAATCACTCACTGATCTCAGTCACCGACTCAAATCACTGTCACTCACTCAATGATGAAATCACTGTCACTCACTCACTGATCAAATCACTCACTCTCTCACGGACTCAATCACTCACACAACGATGAAATCACTGTCACTCACACAACGATGAAATCACTGTCACTCATTCACTGATCAAATCACTCACCAATTAAATCACTAACTTGCATATTCACTCACTCATTCAACTATTCATTCACACGTTTAAACTAATGCCCCACACATTTCATCATTCCAGCTCCTTCATCACTTACTAACCCATCCAACTCACTGATACACTCACTGGAAGGATGTGGGGTAGCCTAGTGGTTCAAGCATTTGCTTCGTCATGCCGAAGGCCTGAGTTTGATTTCCCACATGGGTACAATGTGTAACGCCTATTTCTGGTGTTCCCCCGACGTGATATTGCTGGAATATTGCTAAAAGCAGCATAGAAACTGAACTCAACCACAGACTCACAAACCCACAGAATTACCTCTTGCCCCCTCCCCAACTCCCCATTCCAATGCAATCAGAAAACCTGACAAGCCATCACTCATTATTACACTGTCATTTCGCCATGAACACCAATACTGCAGATACGTGCACACAAAAAGGAAACACCCAGGACTTTCTTCATCAATTGCAGCTAGCATGCATCATCAACTAAATATCACTCTGAAATAAACTTTGGCGCTCATCCAAATTCGACTTGCCCTGTGCCATCAATCCATTCCTCTGAATCGCTTCCTCGTCCCAAAGGAGCATGATGATATTGATAACCATAGAAACTGGTTAATATCTGACATAATGAGCCATGTTTATTTCACGTCAACTGAATGTCATTGGATGCTGTTTAGCTTGTCAATACACTGTTAATCCTTTTGTGACAGGATAAATTGGAAACTCCAAGACAGATTTTGTTATTACTTTGAACAAATTTGATTTAATGGGGAGTTAATGATACAATGACAGAACTGTAAAGTGATATCAATAATACCTTATCCAATCCACAAGTAGCTTTAAATGTTCAGGAAATAATCTGAAACGTATAAAATCTAAATGTATCATTGAGAAATAATAACCTGTCAGCAATTTTGATCCATGTCACTTGATATGATAGCCAGCGATTGGACATCTTGTCACCTAATCTCCATTTTGGCCATTATTGTCACCTAATCTCCATTTTGGCCATTTGTGCCACCTAATCTCCATTTTGGCCATTTTGTCACCTAATCTCCATTTTGGCCATTATTGTCACCTAAATCTCCATTTTGGACATTTGTGCCACCTTGCTGGCACCTAATCTCCATTTTGGCCATTTTTGTCACCTAATCTCCATTTGGGACATTTTTGTCACCTAATCTCCATTTGGGACATTTTTGTCACCTAATCTCCATTTGGGACATTTGTGCCACCTAATCTTCGTTTTGGACATTTGTGCCATCTAATCTCCATTTGGATATTTTTGTCACCTAATCTCCATTTTGGACATTTGTGCCACCTAATCTCCATTTTGGACATTTGTGCCATCTAATCTCCATTTTGGACATTTTTGTCACCTTATCTCCATTTTGGAAATTTGTGCCACCTAATCTCCATTTTGGACATTTGTGCCACCTTGCTGGCACCTAATCTCCATTTTGGACACTGTTGCCACCTAATCTCCATTCTGGACACCGTTGCCACCTAATCTCCATTCTGGACACTGTTGCCACCTTATCTCCATTTTGGCGCTGTTGCCACCTAATCGCCATTTTGGCTCACCATTCTGCCACGTTGCCACCTACTGTTGCCACCTATTCGCCATTTTTGACACTGTTGACACCTAATCTCCATTTTGTATGTAATTGTCTACCAAAAATTCAGCACTACAGTACGAGTATTTTTTATTTCCAGGATCTCCAGGTTATTACATAGGTACCTGGCTAGTTATTCTCGAAACGAACTTCTTAAGACCATTCTTAACACATTGGC